TCGTTTGCGGTATTACTTTCGTGCTCGACGCTGACGGAGATCTGGGAAAGGGAGCGATTGCGTGGACCCCGTGGACGGCGAGCTGACAGGCTCAGCCTTCGAACTCGTCGCGTTCTCTACAATTGCTTTCTGAGCAATCGGAAACTACCGGCGAGCAGATTTTTTTCGTGTCGATCGGAGAGCCGTTGTTGCACTTTTATGTTTAACTCTTCGATTCTCGAGTGGCGCCACTAGAAATTGTTGTAGTATTTTTTCGAAATCGTCATCAGATTCGATCGTGTTTGAAATAAAAATGTTAACGTCGCGTTGTTAAAGTCGCAATAAATTATATAAAATAGAGATACCGTAAATGTGTGACTCTTTGACTCTCGAGTGGCGCCACTAGAAATTGTTATAGTATTTTTCCAAAATCGTTGCGAGAACATCAGATTCGATTGTGTTTGAAATAAAAATGTTAACATCGCGTTGTTAAAATCGCAATAAATTATATAAAATAGAAATACCGTAAATGTTTGACTCTTTGACTCTCGAGTGGCGCCACTAGAAATTGCTATAGTATTTTTCCAAAATCGTTGCGAGAACATCAGATTCGATCGTGTTTGAAATAAAAATGTTAAAATCGCAATAAATTATATAAAATAGAAATACCGTAAATCGAAGAACATGTTTCGGATTTCGAATTCAAGTAGCTTCGACTGCAAAGGGTTAATCCTTGTAGCAACCAAGAACAATTCAGTCAATTCTCCGTAATTGACGCTCTGAGTGTACACAAAAATGGACAATTCGGGAAGAGGAGATAAGATTATTGCTGCTCGTTTTTATGACAATCGGTAATTATAAAAACGAACCGCTGAACTCGAATAATCGTATTTTCTCTTCCCATGTATATTTTTGTGTACAATCTGAGCTTCAGTTAGCTTATTATTCTTTATTAAATTCTAATTCTAATTAGAATTTACTGTTCGTCGTTGTCGACTACGCTAGAAAAAATTCAAGCTGTAGAGATGTTTTCTTAACCCTTTGCGCACTTTGACGAGTCCGACTCCCGACGGGGATTTCCTAACGGAAATTAAATACTATTTTTATTAAATAATCTTACATTAATATTTATCGTTTACTAAATTCGCAAGACAAAAACTTATACTTTTACCATCAATATCTAAGCGTTCAAGCAAGAGTAGACACATAGCAAACGTGTAAATTGTCTTTTTTTTTCCAAGAAATTATTAGAATCGAAGAAGTCGCAATCATCGTATCTGCGGTGATCATGGTACGGCAAGGGGTTAATAGTTTCGATACGCAACAGTTTTATTTCTTGATTTATGCTCCTCCTTGAACTTCACGATTATCAGGTTCTTACAACATTTTTGTAATTTCTTTCCGGAACTTTAGCGAGCTAAGCCAACCAGGTTTGCTACGTTGCATGTCCCACAGATTGTTTTCGTTCAGAACTTCGGTACGCCGGAAGATTCTTCAGGATTGTTCTTTAACCGAGTTTTTATTTCACCGTTGAAGACGTTAAATTTCTATTAAATTGGTGGAATCGTATCGATCGATTCGCTTCGAAAATTGGCGGCATATTTGTTCTCCAGTAGAATACATTGGTTTTGTTATAAAATACTGTCGTACTGTCTATGAGCTTGACAAATTTTCACTAAAATTCTTGTGCCGATGAACAGGTATACTTATATCTTTATTTTTACATTTTTTTCTAGATATATTTTCGAAGATACACCTCTGATCAAAATGAGGAGAAAGGTGAGTGAACGGCTGAACTATTACAATAACCCTAGCAAGTACAACTAAAAGTCGGTCCTCAGGAATTAAAAGGTTTGTCGAATCTTCTGGGACTTCTTTCTCGGAACATTCTTTCGTGCAAGAATTCGCACTTCGCCGGTTGGGTGAAATTTTTCTTGAGATCAGGCTAATATCCGGTTCGAAACTCGCGCGAGAAGAAGGTTATCGCGTTAGAGCCGTGCATGAAACGTTGGGGCTAATTTTTACGCGGCACAGAGCCATCATTCTTGTTAACGCTTTCGGGCTATCAATAAGGTTTGATGGGTCTTAAATCGGCTTTTAGACGTCCTCTTCAATTGTTATCCGTCTTAACCCGAGAAAGATAACCTACGTCGCAGAGGCGCCTGCGAAGACTGTTGATTTTTGTTAATTTTTCATAGAGGTCTAGTGATTTAAGTTTAAAATTACTTAAAATATAAAAAAATATAATATAAATGCATTTTATTTTTACAATAATGCCAAACCTTTAAAATGACTAGATTAACTTAAATAAATATCCATTGTTAGTATAAAATTGACGCCTTAGAAAAGCATGCGCCTCTGAAGCGTATGGTTATCTTTTACGTACGTTGTCATATGGTTATCTTTCTAGGGTTAACGTTC